AAAAAAAAAAAAAAAAAAAAAAAAAAAAAAAAAAAAAAAAAAAAAAAAAAAAAAAAAAAAAAAAAAAATCTAAAAAATCCCAATATAATTATTTAATAAAAGATTGGTATAAACATAAAATTGCCGACCCCGTGAGATATTTCCGAGCCGTCCAGGCACGATCTTCACCGTCTAAAATGTCGCAAACAAACGCCCCTCCCGATCGGACGGTGAAGATCGCAGGCCATTCTTTTTACAAACAGTGGCAGAGAGAAAGCCGCCGACGCAAGAGAAGCAACCAATGAGAGAGACCGACCCCACAGGCCACACCCACACGTGCCATTGTTGTTTTAAATTTATTTATTTTAGATTTATTTAGGGTTTTAAAAATATTAAAGCAAGAAAAAACATTATCTTAAATAATTTTGTTTATGCAAAAATCTTATAAATATATATTTTTTAATTGGAGTAGAAAGGAACAATAAGGCTTCGTTGCCGGCGATCAGAAGGCGGCGAAACCTCTTTATCGACAGAAAGAGAGAGACTGAGAAAGCGGAGGGTGCGGAGCTCTCTCCAACTTTGGTCCTTTTCTTCTCTTTCAGGCATCGTTTCCTTCAGCATTCTGCTTGTTTCATTACTGCTTTTATTTGCCTTTTGCCTTTTGGATTCTTGATTCTCTTTCTCTTGTTTTGATATCGGCCAATGTGGACTTTGTTAAGTTGTGTGGTAATGTGTAGATCTGTGTTGACATTTAGATTATGGCCATCAAGGTGTTGTGTGATTTTGGTTTTGATTTTGTGCTGAACGAAGGTTATAGTGTCTACAGTGCTTAAGTAGTTTAGATTTTAGGTTCTCGCGGAGATTGTGCATAGTGATGAAATGGACGCTGAGATTTAGGACGGTTGAGAGTTAGTCTGTTGGTTTTAGCTTACTTTTCCTTTGGAAGATCTGAAATCGCGTGGTTTCGATCTGGATATCTGGATTTGGCTCTTTCCTGTAATGGATATGCTATTACATTGGAAGCTTGTGATGCTGAAGATTTGTCGATTTATGAGCAAACTGGAAACTTCCTGTTTCTTCTTTGTACAGATTTGCGCATCAGATTATTGATCCGTGATATCTCGTTTTCAACTTTCGGGAAGATTTTTTCTTCTCTCTTCAAGAGAAGAAATTGTGAATGTCCTTTTCCCAATTAGAGATCCTTCCTTGAGACCATACCTGAAAGAAGGTCGTATTGGGTTTCTTTCAGGTACGGTACGTATAAACAGAGTATTGGATTTCTCATTGTAGCCGAGTACCTGGATATTTCTATTCATACTGTAGGCTGAATAGAAATAGAATAACCCCACGGCTTACGGCATCAGAGAGTTGGAATTAGTCTCTAAACATGAACATCAATTTAAATTAGTTTCATGATAAGCAGATGTTCTTTAAAAAATTTGTAAAATAATCAATACACAGCCATTCATACGACGTAAATGTGAAGTTGACAGCAGACCTAATCGCTCTGGGCGTGTTTTAGAAACTTGCCAATCTGTCTTGTCGATGAACTTGAGGATAAAGGACTTCCTTTTCCGCCTCGAGTTTGGGGCGAAGTGTCTTGGCAAGTTGGTTTTCTTTGTATTGCCACCCTTTCTCCTTTGGTTCTTTTCTTACGTTTCCCCCTCTAATTTTCTGATGGCTGTACGTTGAATTATTAGGTTCGCATTGAATTCATGCATTTACAAAAATTTTAAGTAGTACATGTGGGCCTGGTGTTTTGACTTTTATCAAATGAAGGCATCTTGCTGTCTATAATCCTTGGCATGTGAAAGTGCAATTTGTCTAGCATACTTAAATTTAATTGTCCAATGAAATTTTTACATCCTGAGTCTACAAGATTCGTTAGAATTCGAAATTGTTTTTTTCTGAATGATTTGTTAAATTTGTATGCACGAACTATTTCTTGTCTCATTAATGATTTACCATTACCATTACCATTTCATGAAAGTGATTGTGGGGCTATTGTGATCGAACAGTCCTACGGTTGATTGTTAACTTTCAATCTCCTTTTTTTCCTTTTTACGCTTGTTCCAGGACAATATCTTTTAGAAAAAATGGGTGCTGGAGGTCGAATGTCCTCTCCTTCATTCCTCAAGAAATCAGATTCTGACAACTTGAAGCGAGTTCCGGCCACAAAACCACCATTCACCCTTGGTGAGCTCAAAAAAGCCATTCCCCCACATTGCTTTCAGCGTTCGGTTCTCCGCTCATTCTCTTATGTCGTTTATGATCTTACCTTAGCTTCGATCTTCTATTAATTGCAACCACTTACTTCCAAAACCTCTCTAGCCTCTTGTTTTATCCAGCCTGGGCTTTATACTGGGTTGCCCAAGGCTGCATCCTAACCGGCGTATGGGTCATTGCCCACGAGTATGGCCACCACGCTTTCAGTGATTACCAGTGGCTCGATGACACTGTTGGCCTTATCCTACACTCTGCCCTCCTGGTCCCTTACTTCTCTTGGAAATACAGCCACCGCAGACACCATTCCAACACCGGTTCTCTTGAGCGAGATGAAGTCTTTGTCCCTAAACAGAAATCCGCTATCAAATGGTACTCCACATACCTCAACAACCCACTCGGCCGTGTCTTCACACTCACTATCCAACTCGTCCTAGGCTGGCCTCTCTACTTGGCCTTCAATGTCTCCGGCCGACCCTACGACCGTTTGGCCTGCCATTACGACCCATACAGCCCCATCTACTCCGACCGTGAGCGGTTGCAGATATTCATCTCTGATGCTGGGCTGCTGGCCATCACCTACGGACTCTACCGCCTTGTCCTGGCCAAGGGCCTCACCTGGGTGGTCTGTGTTTACGGAGTGCCATTGCTGATTGTAAACGGGTTCCTTGTCCTAATCACATTCCTCCAACACACTCACCCGGCATTGCCGCATTACGATTCCTCAGAATGGGACTGGCTGAGAGGCGCTTTAGCGACAGTAGACAGAGACTACGGCATCTTGAACAAGGTGTTCCACAACATCACTGACACTCATGTGGCCCATCATTTGGTCTCCACAATGCCACATTACCACGCGATGGAAGCAACCAAGGCAATTAAGCCAATTTTGGGTCAGTACTATCACTTCGATGGAACTCCAGTTGTTAAAGCAATGTGGAGAGAGGCGAAAGAGTGCATTTACGTGGAGCCTGATGAAGATGAGAAGAATAGAGGCGTTTTCTGGTATAGGAACAAGTTGTAATCTGTTTCCGGAAGACTTTTCTGCCCTTTTCTCTATCCTGCTTCTGCTAATCCAGAAAGAGCTCCTTGTGTGCAGTAACTTTTAAAAAGCCAACCCTTGCGTTAGGTCGGTCAAGTTTTCTTGTTTGATTTGCTTTGTAATGTGAGTTGGGTTCTAGATATTAGGCATATGCAATTTGCGGTTAACTGTCTTGTAAGATTATGCATAAGTTATGGGAAGATTAGCCTCTATGATATAATATAATGAACAACACACGTATAAAAACCAAAAACAAATAGCAAATCAAGGAAACTCATAGTTGATAATCTGCTTACACTATTTGGCTAACATTTAAAGCTCTTCTATCTGGATGTAAATTCAAACAAATAATTTTTTTGTTTTTAATTTTTCAATGATGAGATGGGGAGAGGGAGAAACAAGTCTGAAGAATTAAAACTACAAATGATTAAACAAGTCTGAAGAATTAAGAGAAAATTAACTTCGAAATGGAACAATCAATGCCCAATAACATGTTTCTCCTGAAAGATTTGAAGATGTTCCTGAAAGATTTGAAGCTAATGCCCAAGAACATGTTTCTCCTGAAAGATTTGAAGCTAACACATCAGTTGATGGTTCTCGTGAAGATTCATAAGAGTGAATTTTGAGAGATGAACAATTTTGGAGGTAATAATAATCCTCCCCTTGGTGTGTTGCATCAGAATATGCTGTAATAATAATAATAATAATGAAAATCCATGCATGATTAATTCTATAAGGAAATATAAAAATAATGACTTTGCATACCTTATAATGCTTGACATTGAAGACTGAATAAGTTTTTCTTCTCTTCAAAGTTATCTAATGCTTACATAGGGAATATGAGAAATTTTTGGCCAATCTTCTCCTTTTTCTCTCTCGTACCTCTCCTTCAATTTGGGGCAATCCCTAATATGCAAATCTTGCAAAGAGGGGAGGTGGTGAATCCTTTCCGGCAATGAAGTGAGTTTTGGACACTCCATAATCATTAAGTCTAAGAGTGATGTGAAGTCGCCTATCCATTCTGGTAGAGTTATTAAATTTGGACATGAGATTATGCTAATGCGTTCAAGAGTTGTCACATGTTGCATCCCATTAGGCAAATACTCCAACTTCGGAATTGCTTCAAGATATAAAAGGCGAAGACTTCGAAACTCTTTCCACAATACATCATTAATAGGATGTTGAACAAGAGAATTAATAGGATGTTGAACAAGAGCAGAAGACATTTGTAAGTTTTTGCAATCTTTTATTTCAAGATCCTCAAGATTTGTGAAATGATAGAAGAACCCTTCTGGCAAAAACTCAAGGTCATCAATCTTATCAAAGGAAACAAAAGTAGAAAAACACTCTTCAACACAATGATTGGCAGTCCTTTCAAATACAACATTAAGTAGTTGTGAACTAATTGCATGCAAACTGAGTGACTTCAAAAGTGCATGCCAAGGAAATGAAGCTAAATGAGGACAAGCATCTATCTCAAGTTTACAAAGACGAGACATTGCTATAGGAAATGATGCATTGTTTGGAGAAGATTCCAATGAAGTTTCACCCTTCCACCATCCTTTTAAATTAAGCATTTCTACTATGCTTAATTCCTCGAGAGATGGAAAAAACATCGATGAAGAAGGATATTCATTGTTGTCAATGTACTCAATGTTGGGTAATGATTGAAGAGTCAAATACTTGAGAAAAGGAAATTGATCAAATTGTGGAAGAGCTTGCAATTTGAAGCAATATGAAAGCCTTATGCTGACCAAGTGAACAAAGGTATTAGAGGATAGCCAATCACATAGTCTGACTTCTGGATATCCACATATATCTATCGTTCGAAGATTTGAATGCGGTTGTAACCATTTAAAACCCCCTTTGCACTCATTGTCCAAGACAATGTTCATATCCTGATCTTCGGAATAGTTCCAAACTAACTCTAATTCTTGAACACCCAACTTTAGTGGCAAGCTCTTTTCCAAAACATCAAACGTACAAACTTCCAATCCTTCAATAGTTAATGAGCCCTCCAACTTGTCAAGTCTATTCAACTCGCTTAAATCACAACCAATATCTTTCTTTAGTACAAACAAATTCATTGTTTGAAGACTTGTAAGCTCACCTAGTCCTTTAGGCATATGAGTCAAATTAGTGCAACCACTTAAATTAAGATGCTTAAGGTTGACACATTTTTTAATATCTTTCGGCAATTCTCTTAATTCAGAACAATCTTGAAGGATAAGTGTTTCCAAATTGTGCAATGCAGCAATAAAATCCGGAAGGAATTTTATGTTCTCATTTCTAACAAGGCTTAGATATCTCAGCTTCATCCAATTTTTTGCTTCTCTCGGCAACTCTTGTAAACACTGACACCCATCAAGGATAAGTGTTTCCAAATTGTGCAATGCACCAATAGAATCTGGAAGGAATTTTATATTCTTATTTCCAACAAGGCTTAGATACCTCAGCTTCTTCCAATTTTTTGCATCTCTCGGCAACTCTTGTAAACACTGACACCCATCAAGGATAAGTGTTTCCAAATTGTGCAAAGCAGCAATAGAATCCGGAAGGAATTTTATATTCACATTTCTATCAAGGCTTAGATACCTCAGCTTCATCCAATTTTTTGCATCTCTCGGTAACTCTTGTAAACACTCACACCAATCAAGGATAAGTATTTCCAAATTATACAACTTAGTTATAGAATTCGGAAGGAACTCAAGTTTCCTTTGACATATCCTCAGATATCTTAAATGTTTCAACTTACCAATAGAACTTGGCAATACTTTTGAAGTATTAGTATAGCAGAACTCCACCTTCAATGTCCTCAAGCACAAAAACTGAGTAGAGATTAGGTTCACAACTTTTTGGCAATCCTCATTTACCGCATCAATAATTAATGTCTTCAAATTTTTTGCTTTAAACAATAATTTCAAGGATTCCAATTTTATACCAAATTCTTTCAAAATTAAGATGTGTCTTGTTCTTTCAGTGACAAGCTTATCTTTCACATCCATGGAAACGTATTCATCTTCTACTATTGAACAAGCAAGATCATGTATCAAATCATGCATTTTACAATATATTATGATACCCATTTCATTTCTTGTGACGTCTTGAAAGAATGACCTTGATAATAATTCCATGAAATAATCTTCACCAATATCATTTGGCTTGATTGTGCCAGTTGATTGAACAAAACCGTGCGCCATCCATTGCCGTATCACTTCATCCTTTTGAATATCATAATCTTTGGGAAACAAAGCACAATACAAAAAACATTGCTTCAAATTGGAGGGTAGATGGTTATAACTGAGCTCCAGTATTGATAGCATGAATTGTGTCTCTTCTCTTTGCTCCAAAACTCGAGAAAGCTCATTTTCCTTAAAAGTTGACCAAAGATGATGTTCTGGTTTTTTGGCGTATAAAAGACGTCCTATTGTTCTTATTGCAAGAGGAAGGCCTTTTAACTTCACCACAATCTCCTTCCCAATGTCGACTAGTTCTTTTTTCGGTTCCTCTCCTCCAAAAGCCATTTTTTTAAACAATAGCCAAGCATTTTTGTCATCTAACTCTCCTAAAGCATAATATGAAGTTGTGTCAAAAGTCTCTGCAACTCGCCGATGTCGTGTTGTGATCAAAATTCTACTGCCTGATGCACCACCCATCAATAATCTTTTGAGAGTAACCCATTTCTCATAATCTTCATTCCACACATCATCCATGATGAGCAAGTACTTTTTCCCATCAATATTCTTTCGTAGTTCACTTTGCAACAAATCCATTTGAAGGATCTCCGATTTATGTTTTGTTGCAGACTCTAGAATCTTTTCAACAATAACTTTTACATCAAAATCGTCAGAAATACATACCCATAGTGTCAACTCAAAATGTTTCCTTATGCCTTCATTATTGTAGACAGATTGAGCAAGTGCAGTCTTTCCTAATCCTCCCATTCCAACAATAGCAATCACTGCAACATTCTCCTTGACATTAGGATATGTATTTAGGAGATAGTCTATAATTGCTTTCTTGTCGCCATCTCTACCCACTACATCATCATCACATATAAAAGACGAAGTTTCTCGACGCTTCCTCAACTCATCATCTCGAGTATTTATCATACACTCAGATAAATGAAATTGATTTTTATCATCGTCAATAGCTTTCAGTTTCTCTCTAATGTCTTTAATTTTGTGACTCATTTGAAATCGGAATTCAATCTGACGAGGTAAAGAGAAAACTTTACGTACCTCTTTGGTCCATCTTTTGCCATCGGCCATAACTTGCAGCCTCAAGGTTTCATAAGTATACTCGTCAATCAAGTCATCGACATCGTAGAAAGCCTCTTTGACCCTTGAAATCCAATTCTTCACTGCATGACTATTGGACTGTTGCTTCTCTGCATCATGAAGCACAGCTTCCATAGCTAAAATAGTTTGCTTGAGTTTGTCAAGATCATCATGAAAACTCCAAAACAATTGAAACTCAGTGATAGCAGGAGAGCCCAATTTGGTAACAAGGGAGGCTGCAACATTGAATAGAATTGATTCCGCCATTGCAATGATTCCAACAAGATTGAGTGAGATTTCTTCTTCTTCTTCTTTTCTTATAGTGGACTGAAGCGTAATCCTTTTTTTCTTTTTTCTTTTCTTTTAATATTTCAACTGTTAGGAATCACGACTCTCCACAATGGTATGATATTGTCCACTTTGAGCATAAGCTCTCATGGCTTTGCTTTGGGCTTCCCCAAAAGGCCTCATACCAATGAAGATAGTATTCCTCACTTATAAACCCATGATCTTCCACTAAATTAACCAATGTGGGACACTCCCAATCCCAATAATCCTCAACAATCCTCCCCTCGAACAAAGCACACTATAAGCCTCCCCTGAGGCTTATGGAGCTCTCGAATAGCCTCCCCTTAATTGAGGCTCGACTCCTTCTCTGGAGCCCTCGAACAAAGTACACCATTTGTTCGACACTTTAGTCACTTTTGACTACACCTTCGAGGCTCGCCATTCTTTGTTCGATATTTGAGGATTCTATTGGCATGGTTAGTTTTAGGGCATGGCTCTGATACCATGTTAGGAATCACGACTCTCCACAATGGTATGATATTGTCCACTTTGAGCATAAGCTCTCATGGCTTTGCTTTGGGCTTCCCCAAAAGGCCTCATACCAATGAAGATAGTATTCCTCACTTATAAACCCATGATCTTCCACTAAATTAACCAATGTGGGACACTCCCAATCCCAATAATCCTCAACAATCCTCCCCTCGAACAAAGCACACTATAAGCCTCCCCTGAGGCTTATGGAGCTCTCGAATAGCCTCCCCTTAATTGAGGCTCGACTCCTTCTCTGGAGCCCTCGAACAAAGTACACCATTTGTTCGACACTTTAGTCACTTTTGACTACACCTTCGAGGCTCGCCATTCTTTGTTCGATATTTGAGGATTCTATTGGCATGGTTAGTTTTAGGGCATGGCTCTGATACCATGTTAGGAATCACGACTCTCCACAATGGTATGATATTGTCCACTTTGAGCATAAGCTCTCATGGCTTTGCTTTGGGCTTCCCCAAAAGGCCTCATACCAATGAAGATAGTATTCCTCACTTATAAACCCATGATCTTCCACTAAATTAACCAATGTGGGACACTCCCAATCCCAATAATCCTCAACATCAACCACAAACAAATTATCCACACATTATAAATAAATAAATATTTAAATATATTGTGTTGACTGCCAGACTTTTGTCGGCAGCTAAGAATAGTCTAAATTTAAATGTTAGTTGGGAATAAATAATTTGCAGAATGAAATGAATATTCAACCATATGTGGATCCCATACCCATGTGCTTCACATTTACTATTTACTATCATCACATCTCATCCTACACTTTTGCTTTTGAATTGAAAAAATAAAAACAAAATGTTTAGAATTTCATTGGATAATTATTTAACATCTATAAATTATATTTGTATTTTTCAACATCATTTTTGTATTTTTCTGCAGAGAGGATGCGTTTCTTCCAACTATCTCGTTTAGAAATGTGATAGTTTCCCTCGTTCTTTTCCCCTCCGTTTAAACAGACTACTAACTATTTTTTGTTGAAACAATTTTGCGTCAGTTTACGATATCTTCATTATTTATAAGAAGGATGTAAGGGGGGATCATCTTCTTGCTCTTCCCTCTGCTAATTTCTCTTCGGGAAATAAACAAAATTGCTTTTGTTCTTATTGTGTGTGGGATATCCTCACCGGAATGCATACCAATTAAATTTTCTGTCTCTCTATTTTCTATTGTTGCAAAACCTTGGTTATGAGTGAGTTATTTGATTTCTCTTTTTCTCTTTTAACTTGAGATTAAATCTCTTCGCGGCCAACCATCTCAAATTGATATCGGAGCCATTCTTAATTCAGATTTTCAACTAACTTTCTCAGTTCCAGGAAAAATGTTGCAAGTTCTTACAAATATTAAGCGGAAAAGGTCAAACTACATACTACTTTAGATTCAAATTGACACGAAGTAGCTTGTCGACAACAAAACACGATTAAATCAAGCATGTTTTCAATTTTCACTACGAAACGTATAATTCACGGAGTAAAGGAACATGAACATCAAAACACAAAAATCATCGATATACATACATAATTCTCGGTCTATACTATGCTCTACTATCATCGCGATCGTTGAAGCGAAACAAATCAACAATACTTTAAAACATTAAGAAACTCAAACACCGATACTCACAGCCAACAGCAGCGATTCCTTAGCAGAGAGTCTCTCCATCTCCTTAGCATAAATCGCCGGAGCTCCTTGGGCTGCCTGCTGAACCATAGCTATACAAATCCGTCTGCGTCCAGTGGAATGCAGTCCGGAGTCAGAAACCAAGGAAGCTGCGCAGTTGGGAGAAACCGACGGTGAAGGACGGGACGAATCGAAGAGACTGAAGGAAGAGAAGAGTGTAGAGGCGATGGGAGAGAAATCTGCGGCCTTATTTCTCCAACGGAGAGTGTCGCCTGGGCCAATGAATTGCCGAACGCGCGTCTCTCTGCAGATTATATATATATATTAAAATAGTTTATTTGTTTCTTTTCTCAGAGAAGGAAAAAGGAATTAAAACAAAGAATTTTCTAATTAATTTTTGTAATATTAATTTTCTAATTAATTTTATTAGACAATTAAAATGGCTGAAAATTGCGCCAATTTATAAGCAGCAGAACAATAACCTCCTCACCAATTGAGATTCGAAGAGTAAAATTCTTGTGCTCTGTTCGTTCTCTTCCTCGCCATGGAAATCGACTCACAGAAGATTCTCCAGCGCAAGCAATGTCCCTATGATCTATCGGTACCTCTTTGCCTCTTCTATTTCTTAGATCGCTGTTCATTTCCTCAAAAGGATTTTGGATTTCCCGCCATTTTTCTTCGCCCAGCTTGGCTACTTTGGAACTGCGAAGAATTTTCCTTCGCTATTTGCTCATTTCATTTGCTTCACGTTTTGAGTAAACGTTGATCGGAAAGGCTGGAAAAATGGCGGAATTGGGAGAAATCTCCCCGATATTTGTGTTTTGTGGGGTTAAATGGTGTTGTTTGATGTAGGATGAACCGTACAAGATCAGAAGGAGATGTCCAAGGGCCAGCAATACAGTCACATTTACTTTGCTCGACTCCACTTGATGAAAACGATACTCAGTTCACTTGTCTCTAACTGGAAACCTCATTTACCTGGTATTTGTTTTCCCTTTTCATTTCATTAGCTGTTTGATACCATGAGAAGTTTGGGTGGAAGTTGATTTTGTTCTGTGACGCATGGATACATCATAATTCTTGGCTTTATAGTCCTTTAATCTGTTTATTTCCTTTTTCCTTTTGGTGAGTGTTGGTATCTTAGAATATTCAGAACTTGCAAACTTGAGCATCACTCCACTAGTTATAACATATATACTTGACCAAAATATCAGAGGTTCAAATCTCCACCCAGTTGATTCAAAAGTTTAGTGTTTATTGTTGTGGTTGAACTCAATTTAGGATGTAATTGGACCAATCCTTACTTTGAATAGCTTTTCAGTTATTCATCTTGCATGCAAGTTGCAACTGTTTAAGCATCGTGCTTTTAATCATTATCCAAGTAGAACTTAGAAGCAAGTTCATGAAGAATGTGTTTTATGGATTAGGTGAAAGTTTGTCTTGAAAACAATGTCTTGAAGTTTGTACTGTACTGGGATTGGAGGAAGGCAAGGAATGTGTCATTGTTGGAACCTGAAACTTAAACCTACCATTCTGGATGAGTATCCATAGGAGGTAATACTTCAAACAAATATGTGAACCACCATTTACATGACTCTTTATTTGTTCATTTGTTTTTATTTTGGTGCTCTGGGATTGTACAGATATCAACTTTACCCAATATTTATTCTTTTTAACCGCTCTCCCTTGTCATTGCTTGTGATGTCCCACATTGGTTGGGGGAGAACAAATCACCCTTTATAAGGGTGTGGAAACCTTCCCCTATCAGACGCGTTTTAAAACCTTGAGGGGAAGCCCGAAAGGGAAAGTCCAAAGAGAACAATATCTGCTAACGGTGGATCGGATCTGGGTCGTTACATTGCTATTGACTTGGAACATTTTATATCAATATTTTATCAGCTGTCAAAAAAAGCATGTTGATTGTGAAGAGAATTACTATTGATCTTTCCCAATGGTTTACTTGTAAAAGCTGAGGGGGAAAATACATGAAATCTAACACAAGCCTCTTAGACGTAGAATTAGAGAGACTGAGACTATGCTATTATTTTGGTTTAAATCCTATTTTGGTGGTGGCAGAATCTTTTGTTTTCAAAACAATTCTTTGCTCATACATTAGTTGTCTGAAGCAGTGGTAAGATTGATGTACATTAATCTCATTAATGACATAGCTGTGGCACTAAGTTGCTGTACTAAAAAAAGTGGTATCCATTTGTTTGTTGAACTTTTAATGTTCATGCAATCAAATCTCTTGGCAACTTCATTGAAGTAGAGAAAGGCTATGGTTTTTTCTTTTTTGGTTTTAATCTATGGCCCCATATCTTCCATAGCAATGTGGTTTACTGATCTCAACTGCGATTCATTCTAAAGATAACGTTCTCCTCCTCCCTTTTGCAGCTTAACTTGAGAAATCTTGAATGCCACGCTCTTGAGTTTTGGGACTGAATTCATATGATGACGTGCGATCCCACATCGGTTGGGGGAGAATGAAACATTCTTTATAAGGGTGTCGGAACTTCTCCCCAGTAGACATGTTTTAAAAACCTTGAGAGAAAGCATGAAAGTATGGTAGGCTTGGGCGGTTACAAATGGTATTAGAGCCAGACACGGGGCGATTTGCCAGAAAGAAGGCTGAGCTCCGAATGGAGGTGGACACGAGTCGGTGTGCCAGCAAGGACGCTGGGTTTCAAAGGGGGTAGATTGGAGGGTTCCACATCGATTGGAGAAGGGAATGAGTGTCAACGAGGACGCTAGGCCCTGAAGTGAGGTGGATTGTGAGATCCCATATTGGTTGGGGAGGAGAACAAAACATTTCTCCCAAGCAGACGCGTTTTAAAAATCTCGAGAGAAATCTTGAAAGGCAACGTCAAAAAGGATAATATCTGCTAGTGGGCTTGGACTTGAGCTTGGGTTGTTACGTATCGTTATGACAAAGAAACGTTAAAGAGGTGAAGAATCGAGTTTCACCTTTTTAAGTCGCTTCTGCAGGGGGCTGAGAATCAAAAATTTACCTGCTTCTAAGAAAATGAGGATTCAAAAAGTAATGTGCTGCAGGATCATCTCCATTTTCTCTACGGTAAACATTTTTTGGGGGAGAATCACCTTGGAGAGAGCAAATCAAGAGAAAGTGGTGATGGGTGAGTGAGAATGGCCATGCTCCAAACATACTAGCTGGCTTTGGTAGGCCCTCCCCAACAGTATAGGAATTCTAGAATGACGAGTGTCTGAATTTGGCTGGCATTGTTGGGCTCAGATTTGTATGTGCCATAAAACTTCACATACTTCCTATTTTTGCGCTGAAAACTTCCTGATATAAATAATTATTAGTCTTGTTGGATCTTACATTAAATTTAAAGGATCCTGACGTTTTTAGGTGTGATATGGGTGGAGCATGGACGAAACCGAACAGCATTCGAATTTCACGAACTGGGGGCACCCTTCATCAGGCCGACTAGGTGAGTTTGTGCTTTGTCGAGCCTTTTTACCCTATTTTCACCTCACACACTAGAGCTAGATGTACACAAAGAACAGTAGATAGAACTATTGACTAAAGATTTATATTAATGACTTCTAATTCAATCTACATATATACATGTTTACTATACATGTCATTTACCATATATAACCTTACGATGTATAACTGGGTCGTAGTTTCCATAAACTAACACGGCTCACCTAAACATGCAATAATTTGAATTAGATTGAGAGATAAAGAGAATAGATAAGGGCAGATGAAGTGGTGAGCTAAAATCACAGGCTTGTGACCCCAAACCCATAAAGGCAAAAAGCAATCTCTTCTTCCTCTTCTTCTTCACAAGTCACATGCTCCTTCTCCCCTTTTTCTTTCTACTAAATTCAAGAAAACTACATCCACCCATATTTCTGAACTTTCTCACTCTTTACCTTCCACATGTCCCTCTCTCATTTCTCACCGTCTTTGTAACCAAAACCCACTGACCCGTTCAATAAACGGTATGTTAGGGAGTGACACTCAACTAAAGGAGAGGTACACGAATAAATCGATCCCACATCTAAATGAGAGTGATCTTAATAAGACGAGACCATAGTTAAAAAGAGCTTAAAAGAATTGAAAGTTATTATTTATACCAATAAGATGTAATTTTTTTTCGGTGTCTCAATCACGAAAACTTTCAATTCAGATAAACAAGTCGAATTTTATATAAAACAAATAAAAGGAATAAATCACCACATGTCGTTGTTGATTCAGTTGTATATGATGTCATAAACGAGATTATACTATTTAATAACCTAGAGAAACAAGTCGTGAAATTGTGACATTTGGATGATTTCAATGAGATAGCGTAAAAAATTAGAAAAGGACATGCATTTAAAAAAGGGAAAATTTGATAATTTAATTTATTTTTCTTTTTATAAAAGATTTAATTTAGTTAATATGATATTAGGAAAGATAATATAATATAATGTCACATATTTTATGTATACCTAATAAGCATTTTTTAATGATTTTTTTAAAAATAAAATAAAAAATTAAAGCAGTGTTACAAATAGTCAACTCCTAGACTGTCCGCTGCGAAGGGGTTTTCAGTGGCCGACGTGTAATGATTTATTTAAATTTTTAATTATATTTCTTTTTCTTATCACAAAACTAATTTTAAAACATATTTTTAATACTAAACTGTTTTGTTTAATGACTCATTTTAGTTTTTAATTCTAAACCAAATTATTGTTTTTATTTTTGTTATTATTTTGACATTAATATTCATCTCCTTAAATACATGCATACGTGAGCTTGGATTTATTTATTATAAATAAAATAATGAAAATAATTAAATAATTATATTTTAAAATTTATAGATTAAATATACATTTTCAACTCATTTTTTTTACCGTTAAGGATAAAAAAAAATCGAACTTTAATCTCTTGGTCAATGATACACTGATATACTGTAATGTAACATTGAGTCCCACAAATTAAATACCCAATTTTTCTTTTTAAAATCGAACTTCTAAGATTTTATTAAGTGTCGTAGACGTCAAATTTTAAGATGAAATATAGGAGGAAAAAAATCTCACGAACTCAAAAAATAGTCCGAGGTCAACCCGAGGGGTAAATTTGTCATTTTAACCCGCTCTAAATGGGTAACGAGAGTAAAAATTTGTAAGTTAATAATAGAAACTTCATTTAAATTCTAAACCAAATATGAGAGAAATTATTATATATAATTTTTTTATTTTATTTTATTTTATTTTATTTTTTGTCGCTACTCGCTTACACGTGCTTCGTCAACTTTCCCCTTCCCTTCTTTTGTTGTTACAGAGGCCGTTCAGTGCAAAATGCTCTCTTTTCTTCATTTGCCTCTCTGTTTCACTTTCTCTCTCTGGAAACAAGGCAGTCTTCTGCTCTCTCTCTCTCTAGAAAAACCAGAGAGCCACTGTTCAATTGCAAGTCATCTCTTGGTATGTTTCTCAACAACCCATTTAATTGATTTTCCTTTACTGTTCTTCTTCCATTTTAGTTCTTTCTTCAAGCATTGCTTCAAATTTCTCTAAATCTTTTCACTCTCCTACTTCAAACCGCAATTTACTAATCTGGGTCATCGCCATTTCTCAATTTCTTCGCACTTTTGTCTTCGATTCTGCAGGGGTTTCCCTCAATTTCTGTTTTCTGAAATACCCAATTGAAATCGTTGTTGTTTAATCGATCCCTCTGTGAGAAAGTGGGTATTGGGGCTTTGTTGCAGAGGGAAATGAGGGATGTTTTCGTGGCTGGCAAGGATGGCGTCGGCTTGTTGGAAACCAGTGAGGCGGTATGCCCGTATGAACAAGGATGATGATGAAGATTGTTCGTTAGAGGACTCTTTGTTGTGGAGCAGAGAGCTTGAAAAGCATTCTTATGGGGAGTTTTCTTTTGCTGTGGTTCAAGCGAATGAGGTAATTGAGGATAATAGTCAGGTTGAGGCTGGCCGTGATGCCACTTTTGTCGGCGTTTATGATGGCCATGGTGGCGCTGATGCTTCTCGCTTTATCTGTGATCATCTTTTCAGGAATTTAATGAGTGAGTGTTCAAGGGTTGATCCTCTTCTTGTTCTTCTTCTTCCTTTTGATCTTCTTGAACTTGTTCTGAATTTTTTTGGATTCTTGTGTTTGATTCTGAAATCTGTAGTCTGTGACATGCAGTTTCTTTTTCCATGGATTGTTGTTTGGGATTCCTGTTTCATTGGAGATTGACTTTGTGTAATATGTTGATGATTTGAGCTCCACTATTTATGTGAGATCCTACCTCGGTTGGGTAGGAGACAGAAACATTCTTTGTAAGGATGTGGAAACCGCTCCCTATTAGATGCGTTTTAAAAACTTTGAGGGGAAGTCCAAAGAGGACAATATCTGCTAGCGGTGGGCTTGGGTTTGAGATGTTACAAATGGTATCAGAGGTAGGTCAGGGTGATGTGTCAGTGAAGAAGCTGAGCCCTGAAGGGGGTAGATACGAGATGATGTGTCAACAAGGACACTGAGTTCTGAAGGGGGTAGATTGTGAGATCCCATATCGGTTGGGAAGGAAAATGAAACATTGTTTATAAGGGTGTGGAAACCTCTCCGTAGAAGACGCGTTTTAAAACTTTGAGGGGAAGCCCGAAAGGGAAAACCCCAAGAGGACAATATCTGCTAGCGGTGGGCTTGGGTTTGAGCTATTATAAATGGTATCAAAGGTAGGTCAGGGTGATGTATCAGTGAAGAAGCTGAGCCCTGAAGGGGGTGGATATGAGACTGTGTGCCAACAAGGACGTTGGGCCTTGAAGGGGGGTAGATTGTGAGATCCCACATCGGTTGGGGAGGAAAACGAAACATCGTTTATAAGGGTGTGGAAACCTCTCCGTAGAAGACGCGTTTTAAAAACTTTAAGGAGAAGCCTGAAAAGGGAAGCCAAAAAAGAACAATATCTGCTAGGGGTGGGGCTTTGGCTGTTACAAATGGAATCAGAGTCAGGCTTTGGGTGATGTGCCTGTGAACAAAGGTATCAGAGTCAAGCACCGGGCGATGTGCCTGTGAAGAGGTTAAGCCTAGGGGGTGGACACGAAGCGGCGTGCCAACAAGGACGATGGGTCCTGAAGGGGGATGGACTATGAGATCCCACATCAGTTGGAGAGGAGAATGAAACATTCTTTATAAGGGTGTGGAAACCTCTAGACTATGAGATCCCACATCGGTTGGAGAGAAGAACGAAACATTCTTTATAAGGGTGTGGAAACCTCTCTTAGCAGACACGTTTTAAAACGTTTTAAAAACCTTGAGGGGAAGCTCGAAAGGGAAAGCCTAAAGAGGACAGTATTTGCTAGCGGGATTGTTTAGTCAATTGTTAGAACTCAAAACTGTCTCTCCATATCTTTGCATTGGATTAGCTCTGTTCTAAGTGCTTGTATAATTTTTTTGTTGTACTAATAATAGTATTTCATGCTTTGGACCATAGGGCTTGCTCAAGAACATGGAACCATAACCGAAGACACCGTCCGGAATGCATTTTCTGCTACGGAGGAAGGGTTTCTTACCCTTGTTCGTCGGTCTTGGGGTATCAAACCGACAATTGCAGCAATGGGATCTTGTTGCCTGGTCGGAGTTATCTGGAGAGGTACATTGTTCATCGGTAACGTTGGCGATTCCCGGGCTGTCATCGGTTCTTTAGGTAAAGCTAATAAGATAGTTGCAGAACAGTTGACAAAGGATCACAATGCAAGTATTGAGGAGGTTCGACAAGAACTCCGGTCCTTGCATCCCGATGACTCACATATCGTCGTTATGAAGCACGGAGTCTGGCGTATAAAAGGCATAATTCAGGTATCACGTTACCAAAAACGTACATAATATAAACGCTACAAACGCTTCTATATGGTCTGAACTTACATGTCTGTCCTGGCTTTTCTCTGTATATTGTTGAACATGTAAAAAGGTTTTAGGAGTACCTTAAAATTTACAAACCAGTTGTTGCTAAAACAGGACAACATAGGAGTGGATTTCTGTTGTGTCCCTTCATGTGTTTGTGTTCTTGATTTGGTTTTCAATCATTGTGTGAACCAATGTTTTGAAAATTGAGTTAATATCATGCTCTCACGTCGATGGGCGTATCAGGTTTCCAGATCGATAGGTGATGCGTATTTGAAAAGGTCGGAATTCTCTCTCGATCCATCCTTTCCACGGTTCCACCTTGCCGAGCCTCTTCGACGACCTGTTCTTACTGCCGAACCATCGTTAAGCACAAGAGTTCTACAACCTCATGACAAGTTTCTCATATTTGCATCTGATGGTCTTTGGGAGCAACTATCGAATCAACAAGCTGTCGAGATTGTGTATAAAAACCCACGAGCGGTACGTTACGTTCTCTAGTACATAACATTCATCTGTATATGTTCATAGCAATAATCGAATCGCATTTTTCGTTTTCTACAAAATCAGGGAATCGCAAAAAGACTTGTCAAAACAGCATTAACCGAGGCTGCAAGGAAGAGGGAGATGAGATATGATGATCTGAAGAAGCTCGAAAAAGGGATACGACGATTCTTTCACGACGATATCACAGTTGTTGTCATATTTCTGGACAACGAATTGCAAGGGAAGAAGGCACATGTACCAGAATTATCCATTCGTGGGTTCACCGACACGGTTGGACCATCGAATTTCAACGTTCTTCAAGGCATCGATGAGAATGGAAGATCTGTTGGGTGAAGTTAAAAGGATGATGAGTCTGATTATAGAACACTCGTTTAGCAGCTGCTATTAGTTGCATTGGATTTGGATTTGGGAGTTTTTGAAACATTTGGTTCGTTTTATCAAGCATCTTTCTGTCTTATATTGCTCAAATTCCTTTTATGCAGAAAATTTGAGGTTTTTTTTTTTTTTTTTTTTTTTTTTTTTTTTTTTTTTTTTTTTTTTTTTTTTTTTTTTT